ATATTACGCGATGCAAGTGTTCGATAATTGCTTGAAAACTGTTGAGAAAAGGTTAAATCAGTTAAATATCTACAGTAGAATAGTATTGCTACATATACAATTGTTTCAAGCTCATCGGATAATTCTTCTTTGTCAAGACAAATATCGACAGTAAAGATGTTTAACTTGATCATTTAGACAAGATATTGCACCATCTAAAATGTGAATAAAAACATCAATGATTCATGAAGTCAAATTAGATTTATGATCATATCTTTTAAATGTCGTAAGAGTATATGTGATTGATAATTGACCAATGATAATGAATGTAGTTGAGGATATTTCACAGCACCAAGAATACGTTTCGTACAAAATGGATCAACAGTAAGTTTGGTTATTTTATCATTAATTCGAGGTAAGATTTTTTCAGAAACTTTATGGAGAATGTAAGTATCTGCCGAAGAATTATGAACATCGGATCGTTCAATCAGTGTCGATGTGTGTATTTGAAGAGAAGAGCAATACCTAGTCCCGCATGAAGCCATTCTTTTTTTCAAAGTACCCACAAACCAACATTCACACACTATATGATATTTAGCAGCGTATGATTAACTAAGTTGGTACGATGATAAGATCTATTGAATCATTTTATATAAGCAGTTAATTTGATGTTTTTAATGCAAACTAGACAGTCTTAATGACAGTAATTTTAGGGTGAGTGTGGGTGTAGCCAAACTGTATATTGGCACACCATATCGACACCCACATCTCACACTCTCGAGAGGATCTAATGGAACCTGATAGTTATCACATTGGTCAAAGTTTATCGCAGGCATAGCTATCTTCAGCGATATAAAAGATTGAAAAAAATTTCAGGTTTGAATACGAAAATGTTTCTATTAGCAAGAGTGGTTGCATTCTCAAATGTTTTTAGGCGTTGACACTAATGTATATTTTGAGTTGTGCATAAATTGATGAATTGATCTCAAAATTTGACTTGTATGTTAAAGTTGTTAGAAAGCGACAACATTTTTACAGTTGTCTAAATGAAAGAAAATAATTTACACTATGTCTATCGGATTCTGACTGCCTAGGAGCGCCATTGCATTGAACCACACTTTCTCCGATTTTCGAAAATACGTTTCTCCTGCTTTGAATTCTTCGTCCCACCACTACTTAGAAACGTCCGTTCATTTCAGGGTGTGGGTGTGGGTGTATATGTGTCGTAATGGAATTTCGCATCCATACCCACACCCTCATAAATATTTAAATATTTCTATTATTTCTGATCCAATCAACACATTCTCAGTAACAATAAAAGTATCCACCGACTAAAATTTAATTCAAATTATTCGAGGAAAAAAAATTATTCATAACAAACTTGAATATAAATCTATTATGTCTACATCAAAAAGCTCACTACTAAAAAATAGTAAACATATGAGAATAAATCATGATATGAATAAAAATATTAAAAAAAACTGTTCAGTCGTTTCTTTATTAACTTTTTCTTTGATTCATAATGCTAACGATCACTTTTCTAGATAAAATGGACTAGACATGAGAGAAATTTTTCACATTCTATTGACTAGTCCAGACGAGAGCAAATCCATAATTTATGAATGTGAGTTCGAGAAATATCCGACTAGTCCAAGCATGTGGATAGGACGTATCGTTTGACATAGACTAGTCATGACTTTCACAGAAAAAGTTATGGACTAGACAGGTCGCCCGTCATATCTTTTTTTTGCTCGCCTGAGTAGAGACATTTTGATCTTTTGGTGCTTTTTTCCATCGAAATGATATATATACTTCCTAAATATGAAAAGATGTTATCAAATATATTTGGAGCAACAAAAAGGAAACTTTTATATTAAGTATTTAATTGATTGTGCTATATTTTAAGGTAAATAGTGCTTAGAGAGAAAAAATTAGTGTATGACGTACACTTTGTTTCTTTTACTTCAATATTTATTAGTAAATAAAAGAGATACCAGATAACATCGATTTGAAGAAAGTCAGGCGTTAACGAGTATACAACAGTAGTGTCATTTCATTTCTTTTCAAAGATTAGATTCATGACCATATAAATGTAAATAATCGAGCAATAGTCTTCTAGAGGAATTTAACATTTTATGTTATCTTCCAAATAGTAAAAAAATTTCTTAGTGATGAATAAGCAAGATTCGACATTATTAATTTAGAATGCATGAGATCCTTGACACTTGAATTAGTTTTTCTTGTAAATTGTTTTTGTTATTTGGAAGGTAAAATATAACAAAAAAATTGCTAGAAAGGAATTACTCGACTATTTACATTTACCTGCCTGTTGAAAAAATCCGTATGCTCAATTTAGATATATTTTCATTGAATTCTGACTTCTACCGACATAAATCGATTCGTTTCAAAAGACTTTTTCGCGCTTAAAATGAATTTATGAGATGTTCAAGTTTCTCAAATTTATCATTGAAGACTGGTATAATTTTGTTTCTACGTTTCTATTACACATAGAGAGAATCATCTTTGAAACAATTGAATGAGATTAGATTTGAGTCATAAAGGAAACATATTGAGTTAATAATCATGTAATTATTTCTTTATAAATATTCATATGAGTTCATTTTAGATCGAGATTATTCAAAATATTTTTATCAGAGCTTACAAAATCAATTCGATTCATTTTTTTCAAAGAGAAATGGCGACAGTAAATAAATCAAATGTATGTTCAATCTGTAATAAACCTTCAATTAAATACTTTTGCATTGGATGTAAACAACATTTTTGTCCAAAGGATTTCAAAGGACATGAACAACAACTATCAATAAAATTCGATAATGAAATAGTTAGATCACACGATGAACTTCTTGATCAAATACAAAAATTAGAAAAATCAAATGATTTTTCATCTGANTTCCTAAATATGAAAAGATGTTATCAAAAATATTTTGAGCAGCAAAAAGGAAACTTTTATATTAAATATTTAATTGATTGTGCTATATTTTAAGGTAAATAGTGCTTAGAGAGAAAAAAATTAGTGTGTGACGTGTACTTTGTTTCTTTTACTTCAATATTTATTAGTAAATAAAAGAGATACCAAATAACATCGATTTGAAGAAAGTCAGGCGTTAACGAGTATACAACAGTAGTGTCATTTCATTTCTTTTCAAAGATTAGATTCATGACTATGTAAATGTAAATAATCGAGCAATCGTCTTCTAGTGGAATTTAACATTTTATGTTATCTTCCAAATAGTAAAAAAATTTCTTAGTGAATAAGCAAAATTCGACATTTTTAATTTAGAATGCATGAGATCCTTGACACTTGAATTAGTTTTTCTTGTAAATTGTTTTTGTTATTTGAAAGGGAAAATATAACAAAAAATTGCTAGAAAGCAATTACTCGACTATTTACATTTAAATGTCTGTTGGAAAAATCCGTATGCTCAATTTAGGTATATTTTCATTGAATTCTGACTTCTACCGACGTAAATCGATTCGTTTCAAAAGACTTTTTCGCGCTTAAAATGAATTTATGAGATGTTCAAGTTTCTCAAATTTATCATTGAAGACTGGTATAATCTTGTTTCTATTACACATAGAGAGAGTCATCTTTGAAACAATTGAATGAGATTAGATTTGAGTCATAAAGGAAACATATTGAGTTAATAATCATGTAATTATTTCTTCATAAATATTCATATGAGTTCATTTTAGATCGAGATTATTCAAAATATTTTTATTAGAGCTTACATAATCAATTCGATTCCTTTTTTTTCAAAGAGAAATGGCGACAGTAAATGAATCAAATGTATGTTCAATCTGTAATAAACCTTCAATTAAATACTTTTGCATTGGATGTAAACAACATTTTTGTCCAAAGGATTTCAAAGGACATGAACAACAACTATCAATAAAATTCGATAATGAAATAGTTAGATCACACGATGAACTTCTTGATCAAATACAAAAATTAGAAAAATCAAATGATTTTTCATCTGATCTTTTTACTCAAATTGAAGAATGGAAAAAAACAACAATCAATAAAATAGAAAAAGCAGCAGAAAAAGCTCATCATGAACTTATCGAATTAATCCATAAACAAAGAATCAAAATAACAAAACAACTTGAAATAATGACAAAAGAAATTCGTTATCGTCGAGAAGAAAATTTTCTCGAAAATGATATTGTTCGATTAAAACAAAATCTCAATAAAATTCAAGAAACACTTCAACAATTGTTTCGAAAAGATACAAAGAAAGCCATCATTGTTGATAATGATCAAATTGATTGGAATCGACTAATCTATATTCGAGAAGAACAACAAAACTGCGAGTATATTGAACTAGAAATAGAGAAAAATAGAAATTCTAAAACAAGTTCATCGAATATTATTTGTCATTCAATCAAACTTTTTCATTTCATTATTATATCTAAATAGAGCGTCGTTCTTTACTATCAGTCCATATAGAGAAAAAGTTTCTTCAAGTTTTTTTATAAGGAGTTCAAGTACCACTATTTTTGGATAGCTCTAAGTAATTCATTAATAGATTAGAGTTACTTCGAGAGAGATAAAATTGAACAGATCTCCATTCGTAACCAAACACATTCAACGCTCCGAAATATTATTTCGAATTCCGATAGGAATCATTTCTAGAATACGATTGATTTCGTTTTAGAAAAGAGTTTTACTATTAAACATATGAGGTTACGAGTCTCCAGTAATCTATATCAAAGCTAATATTTACTCTCTAATAAAGATTGACTTTCAAGTCGCGTAGATCAGAATAGTTTTTCATTCATTTTAAGATTTTTCGATATTTCAAAGACTCGAATCGTTTAACACAATTTATCAGAACTAACTTTTCTTTTTATTATTCTACATAAAATTAAGAAAATTTCGATGAGTGTTAAAGTAAATTCAAGATCTTGCATTTGTTCAATTATTTTACGTGTCCTAATCGTTCTCAATCATAAAAATTAAACTTTCAACAATTAGAAGAACATTCACTTTTAATCATTGGAAATTAAAAACTTCAATCTATAGTTCTAAAACAAGAATCATTCCAGAAGAT